GCAACAAACACCAAACAAGCCACACCAACCAGAGCTTGGAGGGAAAACAAAGGAGGGGGTTTCTAGGGGTTTCTTGAGAGGAGGAGTCTTTTGGAGGTTAGACAATGCACAACCAGCACATAACTTCAGGGTTGTTGAAGTAGCTGTAGGATAGTGAGTGGGGGACTTGGGCAAGGCAGCAAGATGCCATTAATGTCCAGGGTACTGATTTTCATGCTGCTTTGATTGCCCGTGATAATCAATCTGTAGGAGATCCCACACAATCACAAAATTTTCCCTCTCTAGTCTCTTAAGGGAACAAAAAAAGCACAGGAGATACATTCAGGATCACATTTAAGTGACTCAGTGTTGATCCTTACTCCTGGAGTGTATCAATGTAAGTGATAACACTCGATAATCAGAGGAAAACTGCCACCTTGAGTTATTGGTCTGTAAACTAAGAGCTACTACCAGTATGAGTTAATGCAAAGGAGTGAGCATCTCCACAGTAAAGACACCTTCATGGATCCTGAAGTTGCAAACTAAAAATCAATTTTCAACAATGAAACAGCTTAATCATCCCATGTGCAGAAGATTGTGTGAACCTGGTGATGGAAAATTGATCTGAACCTTCATTGGAAAAGTGCAAGGACCACTAATGAGAGGCTGTAAGATGAGCGGAGATGTGAGGAAGGCACCCACAATTAGACTCTCCTGATGAAACTGGCTGGCAAAGAGCCAGTAGAACCTGGAGGGAGGTTCCAACAGGCCACGTACTGTGTGGCAGGAAAGTGGACCAATGAGAAGGCTTGCTATGTGGGCCTACAAAAGGCCCACAAAGCCACGTGAAGACTTGAGGAGCTCAAGGCAGACTTGTGTGTCTCCTGTCATGACTGCATTCCCCAAGGCCTAGCTGCTAGTGCCTGGAACTGGTCTGTCGTCTTCCCTTGAGTCTGTCCACCCAGACTGGTGCCATGAGCTCCTCTGCTGAGACTTCCATTCAGGCAGACAGTTTTGGTGCAGAGAGTGGGAAGCCCACAGGCCTCCATCCTGCAGGACATGGAGCCCCATGGACCTGGGGCTTGAGTCTGGGCCTGGGACTTGACTTGGGACTGCTGCGTAGTGGGGAGGGCATGGACAGCCTCCCAGACTTTGAGGCCTGTGGGTTTGACTTTGAGGCAGAGTGGGAACAGTTAGAGGCGAGAAGGACACTGCTTCCTGGTTGTGAAGGCAGATCTGGCTCCCCGGCTGATGAGAGGGACCTTCAGGACTTCATGCCCTACCTCTCTGTGGAGTCTGAGACCATCATGCAGCAGCTGATGGGCCCAGAGACATGGGGCGCCCTCAGATACCCATCTCTGGAAAGGTCCACTGCTGAAGCGTCCACCATTTGGGCAGAGGCAGACGCAGACTTCAGCACAATAGGCACGCTGGCCTCAAGCTGTGTGGAGGCTCAGCAGGTCTCTGCCGCCCCTCTGAGCCACCCCAGTCGGCCCAAGGGGAGCCGGGCCTGGAGGAAGTCCAAGAGAGGCACCAAAAGTCGGGTGGTGGGCAGCGGGGAAGCCCAGCAGCCCTCTTCCAATCCTGAGTCTTCAGATGAGCTCAGTGAGATACAGCTGATGAGGGTGAGCATCTGCCCCAAAGGAGGAGGCCAGGCCAGGTCCTGCAGCCCCAGGGAACCCGGAGACCCAGCCAGACGCTCCAGTGTTCATAACAGGGAGAATATTTTTTCCCCTCTGCTGACCTCCGCTCCTCGCGGACTCCCCTCAGGCATGGACATGCAGGCCTTGGGAGAGCTGGAAGCTGGCTCCTCCAAGAAAATGCAAAGTGTGCTCTGGGGCAAGGGAGGGAGCAGGTCCAACTACCCAGGAGCAGCAGCTATTGCTACTGCAACTACTACTGCTAAGAGTACTGCTATTGCTACTAACTACTACTGCTAGTGCTGCTGCTACTACAGCTGCAGGGAGCCTGCCCAGGGCCACTCCTAGGAAGAAAGACATCCAGGAGAAGAAATCCCTGGGGGGTGGCTTGGAGTGACCCTGGGTGGGGCCTTCTCTCTGTGGGGGCAAAGACTTAAGGCAACTCCCCTGGAACTGGCCACCTTCCCTCCAATCTTGGGGTTCCACTGCTTGGGAGGTCCAAGAGGTATTCCTTCTTGCCCTTGGAACCCAAACAGCCCAAGCACAGCAGCACTGGGAGGAGAACTGTGGCCAAGAAGACAGGAGAGTTGGAGCCTGTGACCAGTGAAAATAAGGACCCAAATAGAAATGCTGTCCCGCAAGCCCAGGTGAGTAGGCCTGCTTCCTCCTCCTTCTCCTCTCTCGCTGCCCACAGTTCTTTGCTCTTGCTCCCTGGGCCCCTTGCTCAGAGGTTGTCTTTGAGAGCCTGTTGTCATTAGGATGCCAAATCGGGGGGTCTCTGTAGCCCGGGCAGACAACAAGAAAGCATTCAGTAGGTACCAGTCACTGTTGGCCACACTTTGTGCATTTCCTGCCTCTTTCCCAGACAGGGCTGGAATGGAAAGCAGGGCTGGCCACTGACTTGGTCAGGTGACCCTTTACAGTTTGAGCTGTAGGGTGTGTAGTCCCATCTGTCTCCTGAGTCCTCCCTCCCAGCTCCTCCCCAAGCCTGCCTTGCAGGGGGCCTGGGCTTTCTTCAAAACCGCCCCCCCTCATAGCCCATCCATACTCCTCCCTGGCTCAACTCTTCCTCCAGGGCTGGGCCTTGGTAAGAGAGACAATGCTGGTGAGATGAGCGTTGGTATTCCTCCTAGATCCCCACCTCACCCCAGCCCCTGCACACTGTACACATACCCCCAACAGACACACACACACACCCTAACCAGACTCATTGAAAATTTTCTGTGTTAGCTTTCAACACACAGGCCAGGGAAACCTTGTGTGTTCATGCATTGTGGAGAATTCAGCAGTGGTGAACCGAACCCCAGAGTTCCCCAACCATCAGGAAGCTCCCAGCCCTTGGACTCCAGCCTTGCACCCTCTGGTGAGTCCTGTGGGTTTGATAACAGTGAAGGGGAAAGGGGTGGAGGAGGTAACTTCTTTCTCTGTCATTTCTGTGGACCCAACCTTGCTCCCTCAGGAAGCTGGGTGTGGGTAGGATTGGCCTCAGGCCGCTTGGTCCCTGGGTTGAGGTTTATGTGGTGCAGGTGATTTGTAGCAGTGCCCGGAATATCAACTCCAGAAGGAGACTTTCAGAGGAACACAGCCCTTTCTTCTGTGTCCTGTTTAGCCATATAGCTCTTACCAGGGCTGGCTGTGACTGCAGCTCTGCTAGTGTCCAACCAAGAGCCACAGTGATAGCTGTGGGGGGCTGACACTGGGCAGCAGGGAAAGTAGGCCCAGAGAGAGAGGTGGAGCTGCTGGACAGAACAGGTGCAGCTTGCTGCCTTCAGAGGGGGCTGCTGCCTCACTTTAGATCCAGCCAGCCCCTTTCCACTTCACACTCAGGCTGGGGAGCTGGAGTCTGTGCTCTTTTCAGGTGAGCAGGATCCACCTGTGCAGACCCTGGTTCTGGAAAGGCAGCAGCAACCACCTGGAGCACAGGGCTGTCCCCGGGTAAGTCTTTCCTCTGGCTCCAAAAATGCGGGCCTCACCTAGATGGTGGGCTCTGAGTCCAGCTAAGGCTGACATAGGTGCTCATTCACATCCCACATTACAGGCATGGAGGCCTCCTTCTTTCCACTGAGGATTTCCTGCCTCTGTTGCCACTGGGCAGGGGGCTGTAGGGACATGAGGAGTGGGGGTGAGTGAGAATGTGAGGAGAGAGGAGGCCAGGATATAACTCTTCATTTCTCTTTCTCTGGCATCGGCTGGTTCAGTGTGTGCTGCTACGGAAAGAAATAGATGATCTCAAGGAGCAACTAGGTATGACAAAGCCCAGGCGGGTACAGGGACTGGGGCAGAGGCAGACCTCAGTGTCTCCATGCAGGTTCCTGGGGCTGGGCTGGGCTGCAGGTACAGGCATCACAGTGGGGCGGGATGTTCCTGTGGGGTGGGAAAACCAAGCTGGCCTGGCCCTGGTGCCTTCGGTGCCTTGACTGCTAGGGCTGTGTACAAAAAGCAGTGCATTGTCTGACTTCCACTTACTCTGCCATTGAGTCCAAAAGACTCCTCCTCTCAAGAAACCCCTAGAAACCCCCTCCTTTGTTTTCCCTCCAAGCTCTGGTTGGTGTGGCTTGTTTGGTGTTTGTTGCCCTACGTTTGCTTGATTGCTTGTTCTTAACAAGTTTCTGGGTGGTTCTCCCATGCCCCAGTGTTTGAGCACTACTGGTACATGTTGTTTCCTTATAGAAGACATTTATGTGTCGAGTTCCAGTGGTGGGTGGGGGAGTCAGTCCCAGGGCTGTTTGGACAGGGGCTGGAGGTTCCCCACGGGGCATGGGGGAAAAGGGGCCAGGGGGCCAAGACCCTGCATGCCTACGTCTGAGTGCTCAGTTATGCCTCTCTCTTTCAGCGGTCATGCATTCCCTCGCTGACAAGTTCCAGGACCTTGAAGTGAGTGTTATGCTTACCATACCCCTTCCCACAATCCCAGCTGTCTGGGAGGGCTGCATGCCAGCTCTGGCCAAGGGGCAGCCATGATTCTGCTCTGCTTGACAGATTGAACCTGGCATTGTGGTACATGGCAAGCAGCTGGTACCAGTGGAGCCCACGAGCAGCGACCCAGCTGGTTCTTCTTCAGCCAGGCCCCCCTGCCGACTCACAGCAGTTTCATATTAAAGTACCTCTCCTGTTCTGTGGTCTGCTCTCTGTCTGAGGGGTTAGGGCCTGCAGGGGCCAGGAGAAGCGTTGGAAGCTGGTTAAGAGCAGGACGCCTGGACGGGTGCAGTGGTGCACGCCTGTGTTCCCAGCGATTCAGTGAGGCTGAGGCAGGAGGATCACAAGTTCAAAGCCAGCCTCAGCACCTTACCCTGTCTCAAAATTCAAATAAAAAATAAAAAGGGCTGGGGTTGTGGCTCAGTGGTTAAGCCCCCCTGGGTTTAACCCCTGGTACCAAAAAGAAGAAAACACAAACGGTACCCCTGGCATTTTGTGGTGGGCTTCTCCCTGAGGGCATCCTGGGCTGGCCTCTGAGCAGGAGCCTGGTGTTCAGGCTGGACACAATAGAATTTCTCCCTTTTCCTCTCTCGCAGTCCTGGTGCTCTCGGCAAACAGCCTTTTCTCTAGGGGCCTCACAGGACAAATTCTTGCTTTCTGTCCCCCCTTTCAGGAAGAACTCATAAGGCCCTTCCAGAGCTCCAGACCTTCCTGCCTTTATTCCCTTGTTGCTGCCCTGCTGCTCCCTCTCACCCTTCTTTTCAGTCCTGAGTGTCCTTGATCTCTCCCATGGCTCTCCCCTGGCGGCCTCCTTCTAGTGAGCTATTTCAACAGGCACGAGGGGACACAGTGGAGCTCACCTCTCCCCTCCCAGGCCCGGTCCTCTCCCTGGACTCACTAGTTTCTTCTGGTGGAACCCCACAGGGGGACAGCTCAGCTAGAAATCGCCCATCCTCCTTAGTTCCTGCTTCGCCCTCACCTTTGTAGCTCAGCTGCCAAGCCCTGTCAGTTTTCCCCTCTTCCTTTCAGTAGAGGGATGGAGGCAGAAGTCACATCCCAGTGGGTGGCAGAGCAAAGCTAAGGTACAGGGAAGATGGGAGGAAAGAGTGGGTTTGTCTCTGGGTTGGAGGTGGGAAGGTGAGTCCAGTCTGGCTCCCTGCTGCTATCTTGGGGGAAAGTTGCCCAGCCTATCGGCTCCGTAAGCTCTTGTTTGAAAAGGGCAGATGTGGGTGGTAGGTCTGCGGGTGCATGGATGATCCGCCCAGCAGGATACTGTTTGGTCACCCCCATGGCACAGATTTTCCTGGACATGATATTTGCATGTCCCAGCTCCATCTCCCGGACTGCCTCCTGCGGTCACATGAGATTTTGCCTGAGCCCCATGTTCCGATGTCACCCTCACTGATGGAGAGTTTGGCCGGGTTCCTTGCCTCATCCAGGGTCCAGGGTGAGGTGTTCCCCAGACTGAGGGACAGATTCATGTTTGAGTAGGTGAGCCAGCTCCCATTCTGGAGAGGCTGCGTGTCTAATGGACAAATCTGACAAATGAAGATGTAACATTCTGTGTGTGTCTGTGTGTGTGTGCGCACGCGCGTTTGTGCGTGCACGCATGCACGTGCCCAGTGTCAGAGTGCCTATGTGTGCTCATGAGAAAGATGGGACTCGGGGAACAGAGGCAGTGGGGGCAGGGCCTGCAATCCGTAGGCGATGGAATGCACAAGAGCAGGGTTGCCATCTACTTTTAGGAGGGGTGTTATTCAAATCCTAAATCATAGGAGGGCACGGGGTGAGATGAAGTGAAAATTTCCAAACTCAGCAATGGGGTCGGTGCTGTCAAACTGTTGGGAGTCTCTGGCACAGGCTCTGGGATGAATATTGTGTCTCAAAGGTCTTGTGTTGCCAGCAGAATGATGTGCAGGCTGGCTACCTCAGAGTGGCTGGTTCTTGCCTCATCTTTTGAAGCAGGGAGCTCCCATGGGAGACGGCCCCACCCTGATGCCTGGGCAGAATGGGCACAGCAAGGATGGCAAGTAGGAGAGAGGGACCACCCTTCCCTGTATTCTCATTCTGTGTCCCTTCTGGGCTCCTTCGGATGGGATCAGGGAGAGAAATGGTCACACAAGTGGTAAGATAATCAGTCCTCAGAGCCAGAAAGGATGGGCAGAGGGGACTTGACACCAAGCACTTCCAACCTCCACCTGAGCAGGGGCACTGGATTCCTCAGGCTGTGGCTGAGACACTGACCCAAGTAGCTATTTCTTGGAGGGGTAACACAACAAGCTGACATTTGCCTGAAGAAGCTGGGCAGGGGCTGTGCAGCTGGGGATTTCTGCCACCTGATGAGACATGTACGCTGGTTCCAACTGGGGTGAATTCTGGCACGCGGCACTGTCCTCAGAGGCAAGGGGCTATCTTCAAAAGGGGAGCAGCATATTGACCGAGCCTTGCCAGGGCATGAGCTCGACCCTTGGCGACTACCTTCCCCAGCTCCACTCCTTCCCTCTGAGCACAAGTCCTCTCTGGTTCCAGAGTGATACCAGCTGTGGCACAGTAATATTGCTGCAACGAGCGCACCACACCACTGGCCGACGTTGGGGCTGGACCTCCCAGCTCTAGTGGAATACGTGGCATGTTCCGAGGCTCGCATTAGAAGATTCTATTGGGTCCAAATGGAAAGGAGGTTGCATCCCTTTCCTCATTCAGCATACTGTCCCCACCCTGCGCTTTCCCTCAAGCCTTCCCCGCTAGCCAGGAGGACTGGGCGCTGGCCTGGAGACCCTTGTCCCAGTCCTGCCTCTTTGTGCTGCTCCTCTCAGTGTGGGCTCAGGAGGTTGTCTGAGTCATGTGCCTGTGCTTGATGCAGCTGCACCTTGGAGCCCTGAGACAAAGGCCACCTGGACCAGGTGCCCAGGCTCCCACTTACCCATTTGCAAATGTAAGCTTTCACATCTTTTTGAGAGCAGAAAAGATGGTCTCCCTGCCAGACTCCAGCTAGGGTGGAAGGGATGTCATCCAGCCAGTGAGAGGCAGCCAGGGCAGCTATCCCCACCTGTGTGGAGGCACAGCAGGATGCATTCTGGGGTGTGAGGTGACATCTACAGCATCAGTTTGTCCTGGTGAGTCACAACCACAGATTCTAGTCCTTGCTGTCACAAAATCCTGGGTGAACTTGGACAACTTCGTGTCCATCTGTCCTCAACCTCCGAGAACAGCTTTCTCCATCCACAGTTCCTCATCATCCATTTCCTACTAGGATGAAGGCAGAGCCAGTGCTTGCCAGGTTTGGGTGTGTACACTGTGGCCCCCAGGCTAGCCATGCAAACCATACCCGCGGGAAGCCAGGCTGCACTGTTCACTCGACCACAGCATCAAGGGACCCCTGCAGTCACCCAGGGTGGAAGATCCCAGTAACCACCACTCAGAGTAAGAATCACAGCACTGCCAACCTTGGGACCCTCCTGTGGGCCCCCACTCCCATTACATGTCCCTCCTTAGATCTCTGGGGTCACTTGACTTTTACAGCTCTCTTGACTTTTCCAAGCACCACTTGCTTCCGCGTAAAGGATTAACAATTGCCAAAGAACCCTTGCCAAGATACTAAAAAGTAAATTAATAAATAAATAAGTTAGACCATTCATGTGCAAAATTACAAATGCAGGAAACATAAGCACACACAAGCATTTGGCAAGTAATCGTGAAGAGATGAAGCCAGGTAACCACTCCCCTGGTCCAGAGACTGTACATTGTACCTTCAGAATGTCTAATGGACAAATCTGACAAATGAATCCCATCCGTGTCCCTTTCCACGAAGGAAGATGATTTCAAAAGGCTCCATGCTCTAGGATTCCGTTTTCATGGCAGACACAGAAACGACAAAAGCATAGGTAGGTGCCGAAGTACAGATCATTGTATGCCAGCGTCTGGGGGCTGAGTAGAAGGGGTTAACTACCAGACAGCATGAAGTAATTTGGGGGCGATGCCAATGTTGTCCATGCTTTATTGTGACAGTGGTTGGTTCCATGAACACATGTGTTTACACATCTCATAGACCTGTTACTAAATTATATTTCCATAACTCTGGATTTTTAGGTACGAACTGTAAACAATACATCTGAAATGGATATTGAAATTTCCTAATTTCCTTTTCTCTGTGTGAAAATCATGTTTTTCTTCTCTGATCTGTAAATGTAGAGAATTATATTACTTTATTTTCCTGAAGGTAAATCGAGTTTGGGTTCCTGGAATATATCCAATTTTATCTTGGCATATCATGTGTTCTCCCTTATGAATGCTGTAGGATTCAGTGGGCTAACATCATCTTTCTGACATTTTTGGCTTCTAGGTCGTGACTGTGTGCTTGACGCTAGGGATTTTCTCCCTCAAACTGCCTTCTCTCAGGACCTGGGATGGTGGTTATTCCAAACTCATAGCATGAGTTAGGGAGTGTCCCTCCTTTGCACTTTCCTCCTGGAGTTTGTGTCAAAATGAAGATATTTACTCTTAGCTTGTTAGAATTTGATGGGGGAATTCTGGAGTTTGTTTGTTTGTTTGTTTGCAGGTGGGCGAGGGTTATTTGTTTGTTAAAAGCATTTTGACCCCTGATGTATTTCTGTCATGGTTTTGAATCAGGTTCACTACTCCGTCTTGAATCAGTTTGGGCCAGTTGTGTCTTCTAGGTATTGGTGACCTTCTTCTACATTTTCAGATGAGTTGCAATAACATGGCCCATAATAGATTAGACTTTTCAAACTTTGTGACCTACACAGGCATTGCAAGGAAAGTGAGAGGAGACCCCGTATATCCTTCACCTGGACTCCTCTTGTTAACATTTGGTCAATTCATTTATTCTCCCCCATTTGTGTTTGGAGGTGTGTCGGTCAGCTTTTCGTCACTGTGACTGAGATACCTGACAAGAACAACTTAGAGGGGGAAAAGTTCACTTTGAGCTCACGGTTCCAGGGGTTCAGTCCATGAGACCCTGAGTCTCAGAGCTGAGTCCATTGCTCTGGGCCCCAAGTGAGGTGGCGCATCATGGCAGAAGGGAAGGGGGAGGAAAGCTGCTAACCTTGTGGTAGCCAGGAAACAGAGCAGGGGGTGGGGGGAGAGGGGCAGAGCGAGGGAGGGAGAGGGGCAGGCACCAGGGACAAAAGATAAACCCCAAGGTCATGTCCCTATTGACTTAT